TGATCAATTTTTGTAAGTTTTTAAATATGATTCAATATATTTTATATTTTTAAATCATTATAAATTGAGTTTTTTACATTTTATTTTAATAATTAATGACTTTATATGTCCTAAATCCATATTATGCTTGTGGCAACAAATTTTTTTTTTATTGGACTTAGATGTATAAAATTATTTTTTTAATTATTATACTTGTGGAAGCATATGCAACTTTTAATTTGAATAGTTTTAAAAAATAAATTATACATGCTAATGTAATCATATAAAAATTAATTTGAATAGTTTTAAAAAATAAATTATAAAGAAATTTTTTTTGTTTGGGTTTGGATCACTTGAATATTCATTCTCTTTTTGGATAACTAGTAAATAAAAATAAAATAAACTAATCAAAAAAAATTGACATGTATAAAAAATATATTAATATATAATTATAGGTGTTATGTTTTCTAGATATTTTACAAAAAAAATCAATCACTAAACAATGACAAAAGTACAAGAATAAATAATAGCCTATATATATATATATATATATATAAATAGATAATGACCACACTTATTATTATTATTATTATTATTATCATTATTTTCAAACAATATATATAGATAAGACGCATACAAACAAAATGGTTGAGTGATAACAGCTGAATAGAATAGTATAGGTCTTACAGCTTCAACAAATCAATAACATGTTCTTCACATTCCATCTGTATCTTTTGCCCCTCCATCTTTTCTCTTTATCTTCCATCTTCTCTCTATCTCTCTTCCCTATTTTCAGTTTTTTTTTTTTTTTTTTTTTTTTTTCGAAAGAAGCAGTTCAAAACCGTTACGTAACAGGCCGTTACGGCCGTTACAGCACCGTTACGACCGCTACGATAGCCGCTACGGCCGACACACCTGTGAATCTCAATCACACTACAAAAGCGACAGTAACGGGTGGCGGTAACTACCAAAACCGTTACGTAACGGTTGCGGCCGCTTTTTAAAACCTTGAGTATAGGTCTTACAGCTTTAACAAATCAATAACATGTTCATTATCTTCCTTCTTTTCTCTCTCTATTTCTTATTCCTCCATCTTCCCTTTTCGTCTTTCCTCTTCTCTCTTTCCTCATTTTCATTTTTTTTTTTCCGAAAGAAGCAGTTCAAAACCGTTACGTAACGGTGCGTAACAGGCCGTTACGGCCGTTACAGCATGGTTACGACCGCTACGACAGCCGCTACGGCCGACACACCTGTGAATCTCAATCACACTGCAAAAGCGGCAGTAACGGGTGGCGGTAACTACCAAAACCGTTACGTAACGGCGTTACGTAACGGTTGCGGCCGCTTTTTAAAACCCTGGTCCAGGCTTTGTCTTCAGTTTGTCCTCGTCTGCTTCAACCTTGCTGCATTAGCTGTTTCAGCAGGGGCTTCCAGGTATTTCACTCGAGCGTTTTTGGCGAGTTGGAGCTTGAGGGGTGCGATCCAGTTTTGTCCGGTTGTCACTCGAGCGCTCCTCCTCGAGTAAGAGTTTGAGGGGTGAGTTTCTACCTATGTTTGGAGGTGTCCTAGCAGGTGGTCGGTGCTCGGTGGGTGTGCCGATCCGTGGCGTGTGATTGAAGGCCTGTTGGTTTTGGTGCTTGGCAGTGGGTATTGGGTGCGAGAAAGAAGAGGACCTGATGTAGCAGAGGAGGTGTAGTTATTTTTTTGTGGGCTGCAGCACAGGTTAAGGCGTGGGGATTGGGTGTGAGCAAGAAGAAGATTTGGTGGGAGATGCTATGTGGGTGTCTTCGGCAGTGGGTGTTGTTGTGTAGGCAGTGGGTGTTGCAGCCGGGGTGTAGTTTTGTCGGCAGTGGGGGTTGCTCCCAGCGGTGGTTTTTGGAGTCTTCTCGGCAGAGGCGTGGCTTGTTGGTGGAGTGGGTAGTAGTTATGGAGTTGCAGCAGCTTAGAGGTGGCGTGGGCAGCAGCTAGGAGAGGGTGGTTGAAGCTGCAGAGGCGTGTCTTGTTCTTGCAGCAGCGTCAGAGGAGTGGACTTGGCAGAGGCGTTGGTGTTGTTCCCGGGGTTGGTTTAGTTAATTTAGTTTAGTTTGGGTGCAGGGTAGTTCATTTAGTTTGCATTGGGTGTTTTGATGGGTTGAATATGTGGGGATTCATGTATTTTAATTTTCTAGTTAAGTTTTTCTTAACTTTTTTGTTTAAAAAATCGAGAGGCTTAGGGGTTGGTTGTATGGATGCGAGTAGCAGTAGTAGGGGTATTTTTATACTTCCAAATCTCTCTCGATGCACCAATAACTTCATTGGCAATCAAAACTCCATCCAAAATATTTCTGCCTCCAATAAATGCTAATTGAGACTCGCTAATAACCATAGGCATCACTTGCTTGATCCTATTAGATAGAACCTTTGCTAGGATTTTGTACAGAGAGCCTATGAGACTAATAGGCCTATAGTCATTAAGGCAAGAAGGGTTATCATTTTTTGGGACCAAGGCAACAAAAGAACTGTTAATTCCACGGGCCAGCTTAGAATTTGGATGGAATTCCTTCATGAATTGTAAAACATCACCTTTGAGTGCCTGCCAACACTTTTGGAAAAACAACAGATTAAATCCATCAGGCCCAGGGGCCTTATTTCCATCACATGATTTGATTGCTGATAAAATTTCTGCTTCTGAGAATTCAGCTTCTAATGTATCCCTAATTGCATGCCCCCCAATAGACTTAAAAGAACCTGATAAAGTTGGCCTTCTGAACCAAGTTTCAGTGAGCTGATTCCTAAAGTGCTGCAACACTTCAGCCCTTATTTCTTCAGGATCCTCCTTGATTGTCCCATTTACGTTTAATGAACACAATGCATTTCTCCTGTTTCTTGAGGCCGCCACAATATGGAAAAACTTAGTGTTTTTATCACCTTTTAATGCCCAATTAACTCTAGATTTCTGAAACCAAGCCCATTCCACCATTTTAGTCAGCTTCCATACTTCCCCTTTTGCCTCCCTTCTTCTAGCAAGTTCTAAAACAGTTAACGGTCTATCTTCAGCTGTTAGGTCAAGCAGATGCAGTTCTTGTTCTAGAAGCTTGAGTTTAGATTCCACCTTTCCAAAGACTTCAATGTTCCATTGCTTGAGAATTAATTTAAGTGCTTTAAGCTTCCTAAAACACTTGAAACCAGCCCAACCTTGAACAATGGTTTCAGCCCAGGTATTATCCACCAAGGATTTAAATTGAGGGTGTAGGGACCAAGCATTTAGAAATCTAAATGGCTTTGGACCCCAATCCCTACATTATAATTTATACATTAACTTATTATAATATTTTTTGAAAAAAGAGAGAGATTTAAAGTTTTACAGCATTTGTGTATTTTTTAGGTGATTAGGTCCAACAAAATAACAATCACTTAGAACTTCTCAATTAAAATGTGTGCATAAAATTAAAATTTTGTTTTATTACTACTCATAAATGCTTTTCATATATAAAAAAAAAATGCCTTTTAATAAAATGTGGATACAAGAAAATATATATTTTTACTTTTATGTCGGTAAAATTAAAGATTTTGTGTAAGGTATTACAATCCTCTTATTTGACTAATTTACTGTTTATTCACTATTCTTGTTGATACAACCAATCAAATCAAGTATCTTTTTTTTTTTTTTTTTGAGCGGTAAAAGAAATCTTTATTGATGAGAATATACAAAGTATGAAAAATATATCAATGAAAAAGAGCTTGGAGCTAGCTCAAGCTCCAAACTCCAGAGAAACCAACAAACAAAGCAAAAGCATACTAACATAACAGCAAAGCAAAGCAAAGCAAAAGCAACAAAAGCAACAAAGCCAACCAACAAAGCAAAAGCATACTAACATAACAGCAAAGCAAAGCAAAGCAAAACATACCAAGCAGCCACAGACTTCACAGCAGAAACCCAGATCATATTATACAGCAGAACTTCATCAAGATCATCCCATGATACTGATAACCTGATATGCTGCATAAACCCACCAAATTCCAATTGCTAAGTGGCCTCCAAATTTATTATAATATAAAGTTTTATTATCATTCACTAATAATATTTTTGTGGATGCATTATATATAGGGTTTGTCCTTAAATTATTGTTTTGATCAGCAAAAAGAAATTTTATTAATAAAAATCAAAGAACAAGACATTAGATAATATATACAAAAAATATTTATATCTACATAAATTTATACAAGGGCAAAGTGGGCATTATGAAAAAATTATATACTTATCTCATCAACTCCTTTCATTGTCATTGACAAAAAAAAAAAAAAAAAAAAAAAGGGCTCAGGAAGAACTAATTTACTGTTTATTCACTATTCTTGTTGATACAACCAATCAAATCAGGTACTTTTTTTTTTTGAGCGGTAAAAGAAATCTTTATTGATAAGAATATACAAAGTATGAAAAGTATATCAATAAAAAGGAACTTGGAGTTAGCTCAAGCTCCAAACTCTAGAGAAACCAACAAACAAAGCAAAAGCATACTAACATAACAGCAAAGCAAAGCAAAAGCAACAAAAGCAACAAAGCCAACCAACAAAGCAAAAGCATACTAACATAACAGCAAAGCAAAGCATACCAAGCAGCCACAGACTTCACAGCAGCAAGCCAGATCATATTATACAGCAGAACTTCATCAAGATCATCCCATGATACTGATAACCTGATATGCTGCATAAACCCACCAAATTCCAATTGCTAAGTGGCCTCCAAATTTATTACAATATAAAGTTTTATTATCATTCACTAATAATATTTTTGTGGATGCATTATATATAGGGTTTGTCCTTAAATTATTGTTTTGATCAGCAAAAAGAAATTTTATTAATAAAAATCAAAGAACAAGACATTAGATAATATATACAAAAAATATTTATATCTACATAAATTTATACAAGGGCAAAGTGGGCATTATGAAAAAATTATATACTTATCTCATCAACTCCTTTCATTGTCATTGACAAAAAAAATAAATAAATAATAAAAAAAATAAAAATAAATAAATGGCATAGGAGGGAATCTGAAACAATGTCCCAAAGCAGTAGGGAGGCAAGTATAATTTTAGAAATTTAAGAGGAAGTTTTTATAATTGTCATAAATTTAAGAGGAAGTTAGTATAATTTATCCAATAATTTTACATATAGGTATCTGTAAATATACATATAAATAATTTAACTAATTTTGCTAAAATATTGTTTAAAAAAACTTTTCTTCTATTTGGTATATGCACGAGTCAATTGGTAATATTTCAATATTATTGCAGATATGGTGCTTATTCAAGAAATGCATTAATCTGAGATTTTGGATAGCCCTAATTGACTAATGATTCCAAGTAGTCAATTCTCCACCGCCTCCCTTGTTCTGCTCTGTTATGCCTTGTTTATTTTTCTTCACTTCAATTCTTAGTTGTTGCTTATGTTAGAGTATATCAGTAAATTAGGAAATTCCTCTATTTCCCTAAAATTAAAAAAATAAAAATCACACATGACACGAGAGTCACATGGGCAATCATTTCTGTAGTTGGAAGTGGATTTAATTTTGAGAATAGTTTGTGCAAATATTTAAGGCCTTGTTTGTTTTTTTACGGGATATAAGTGGTATATATAGAGTGTGAAGGACATTATATGAGGTGGGTTTCATAATTTTTATTTATTTATTTATTGTCTTTTTATATTTTGCGTTTGGTTAGGCTGGACGTAGACAATCCATAGATCATCTCCCTCAACAGAGAGGAATATGCAATACTAGTCCAATGATATAGATTTAGCTTTCATCCAACAATCGAAAATAAGTTTTCCCTTTTTATTCTATGCTATATCATATCCTAACCAATTATAATAAAAATAATCCCATAATACATATATGTAATCCCATTTTATATTTTACATGGTGATTGTTGCTATGAAGTGGGGTATTGGCTGACTCAGGGCTGTGGAGCATTGGGATGTTGTTCAGGTCTGGTGTTTTCCTTATGGGTGATTCTGCAGGTGAATTTTGTGGTATGTACTGTGGGTTTGAATTGGGGGTTAAGTTTATGGGGGTCTTCTTTTGTTTTTTATTTTCTTGCTGGCCATGGTTTCTCGTCATCCCATTGTGGTTGAGCTTGCAGATCATTGAGCTTTCTTCTCGGTGCTAACCTAGTTGGGATTGGGTTTGTTAGCTATGATGCACTTCTGCTCGTTCACCTCTTTATTGATGTTCATCTCATATGTAAATGTATGTTTTCGTCATCAATAAATTATTTTTACTGATCAAAAATATTATCCTCAAACTTTTATATATAATCTGGACTAAGAAACAAGATCTTAGAATAATCAGGATATTTGGCTTGGTGATTGTGTAATATCCTTTGTGGTGTGAGGTCTCAATTTCTATTAAGAGGATTTTGATTCTTTTTGTAATGGTGTTTATTTCACCACATTATGGGGGTTGCATGTAGTAGTAGAGTGATTGTTGGGCTTGAACTTAGTAATTTGTTATTATACAAATTTTGTTGACTTTTTTATGGACTAGTGTTTGATGATACAATATTTCTCATACTTATAATTACTTTTCATCTATTGAGGAAATAAAACTTAGAATAACTAAGTAATAATCTTGAGTACTTGATAGACTTGAGTCATTTTTTTTTATTTTTTATTTTTTATTTTTAGCAGCAATGAAGATAAATTATATTAGATCATGAAAAAAGATACACAAAGCTTAGAAAGAAATTGCATCATTGTCAAAGCAAAGCATCCCAATACTAGGTTGGCATACTAACAGGTAAAAGGAAGAGAAGGCTGTTTTCAACGGAGGAGGTCTTTAATAATAATAATAGTACAATGAAGACCAGTAATAGAGAGGTAAATGTGGAAATCATGGAAATCGATTATGGAGAAGGGCCAAGTGAAAGTGAAACGATCAATAAGGTAGAAGAGTTGTTCACACCTCGAATACCGAGAGTTCCGCCGTTGATGAGAAACCATGAAAATAGCAAGGGAATGTTTGATCCAAAGGTGGTTTCTATAGGTCCATACCACCATGGCAAAGAGGATCTCCAGCTTGTAGAGAACGTCAAGCCTATGTTAGCAACTCTATTTCTACAAGACGGCGACAAGAACATGGATGAGGTCTACAGCATGATTCTTGGAAATATTGATGATGCTAGAGGCTACTATGTTAAACATTCAACCCATGAATACAGTCCTGAGGAATTTGCAACAATGATGCTCTTTGATGGTTGTTTCATTCTAGCTATAATTGAGGACTTCTTCCTCTGTGCTGCCAATCAAAAATCAAAATATGATGATGTTAAAAATCATCTAGGCGTTTTAATTTGGTATTCAGCACTTGATGATATATTTTACTTGCTTGAGAATCAACTCCCATTTCAAGTTCTTCAGTTGATAATGAGCTTAAAATTCAAAGATGATGAAGGGATGAAATCCATCAACGCGCTCTTGAATAGTATGATTTCTTCGGAGACTAGACATATTCCGGATAAGGATAAAGTTATTGTCAGTGAAACTGAAAGGAAATCGTTTCATCTCCTTCAATTAGCACGGACAAAGTATCTCATTCTCAACCAATCCCTTTACAAATCTCAAGTGAGCACAAAGAAGGAGAAAGACAAACATTCCAAACCTAAGAGTAATGTGATGGAATATTTTCTCTCATTTGGTTCGGCTACTGAGCTCAAAGCAAAAGGGATACACTTTAGGCCTAACCGCTTATCTCTTGAGGGTATTGAGTTCAAATCTTGGTGCTTCTTTGGACGTCTCGAACTTCATCCTTTCCTTGTTGATCCACCTTACAAACTATTTATGTCAAATATGATTGCTTATGAAATGGTATCATGCACTCGTACTGAGGACCTTGTCATTACGTCTTACATTCATTTCATGCAATTACTGATTGACAACCAGGACGATGTGAAAGAGTTGCGGTCAAAGCATATACTATTCAATGCGCTTGGCAGTGATCAAGAGGTGGTTAATGTTTTCAAAGAGATCCCCATTTTTGGAACTAATGTCATATTATATGATGATATCAAGCAGAGGATTCAGTTTCACTATAACAGCACTTGCAAGACTTGGATGGCCGAATTTATTAACAAATATTTTAGCAGACCATGGACAGCCATTGGTTTCGCTTCTGCAACTTGTCTCCTTGTTTTGGCTTTTCTCCAGACTTACTACACTATCGTCTCCTCAACAAACCACAAATAAAATAAGACCATTTGTTTTCCTTAGTGCTATTTGCTTTCATGTCTCCAGGTTAGTTGGGTCTCTTCTATTTGTTCTCTAGGTATCAACATTTGTCTACACACACCCCTCTCTCTCTCTCTCTCTCTCTATTTAATGTGTTTGTGTGTGCATTATTTATTAAATAAATGCTTTTCCTTATGTCATGATTGTGATTAGTTCTCTTTGACGGAGGAACGTAACATTGTTGTTATCAGACTTACTATTATGCATTGTTTAAATTTTTTTGTTTTTTAAATTATCATGATATGATCACTTTTTATTAACAAAAAAATAAAAATAAAAATAAAAATGAAGAAAGGCCTGCTCAAAGATCTCTAATTAGTCCAATTTGAAGAGAACCAAACCTCATGTACTTCACAATGAACACTTCTGAAATAAACTATCTCCTTCTTCATTTATTGACAGTGCTTTCATACAAGAGACTAGTGAAGCTAGTTCCCAATACAGATGCCCACTACATGTTATAGAAATCTTTTTATTTTTATTTTTATTGTAGTTAATTGTTTTGTTGTTAAGAGTTTAAAAGTAATTACCCTGTTGACAATAGTTTATGAATAATAGTTATTGTTTGTGTCTTTTAACCTGAATTATTACAAAAGAAAAGTAGCATACTCTGGATATATTACCAAGCAGAGTATTCCTATATTATAACACATAAATTATTATTTTGTATAGCCAACCTGTCCAACAAAAAATATACATTTTATTAAATGCTGCTCTACTCGACATTATATAGGGTTCTATTGAGCATCTAGCATTTCATCATAAGCCACACCCAAAGGTCTTATAGCAAGAACACTACGTTCTCTTTCTCTTTTAGGCATCTACTTGTTGGTTCAAATTGATATTACACAAAATTGCATGCAAGAGTATAGTTAATTTAAATTAAAAAATTCAATAAAATAAAGTTGAATATATTGCATATAGAAAGAGAAAAAGACCATAAATTGTAAGATTGATATCAGCTGCAACAACTAGTCAAGCAGATCCTGATGCAGGTTGGCATATATAAAAGGTCACCTCTCCTTGTAATGTGAAGTCATTTCTTTTGAAAGTCATTATGTACAAAATCTCACTGTTAGCAGTTTTTTGGTAGCTCTGATGTTGACATACATCTCCATAGCTTTCTTATTGATTCATTACACAATTTGGGGATTGCATGAAATACTGCAACTACAACTATAAAATATACATAAAACTTAATTACAAAGTTGTTTCCCTGATGCACTGAACATTTTTTTTTTCAAGCAAAGATGTGTTCGGTTTTCTAATGAAATATACCTATCAGATTTACATACCATATCCTTGTAAGATGATAAAATTTTGCACTGATGCAGCTCCTGAAAGAAAGATTTTTCAATAGTGTTACCAAAGAAATGAATTTCATAATTAGAAGAAAAACATAACCAAAGTTTTTCACATGTTGAGTTAAAGAGGCATTGCTTCTTTAAAAGTTGTTTGCATGATGAACAAATGCCCTTATGCCCTTATGTACTTATAGTACTCATTCTTATTTCTTAATCAACTATGCCAATCGTCCAGAGTCCATTTGGTTTTAGCATCAGAGCTATTCCAAACTGAGCTAAATTAATTTATCAAAATCAGATCCAAATCTATCCCTGATTTCTTCTTATTTCCACCGGTGGTTCAATTCATCAATCAAATGCTCTCACTCAAAAAACACACATAAACATATTTGGTTCAATGCATTTTGGCAACCATCGATCAATCAAAAGAGAAATACATTTACCGTTCCCCACTCCGTCTATATATGATTGAACTTCTATTATTTCTACCCGTATCAGACCATTATGCTCAAAATACACTGGCTTAAATTCTAATCAGTTATTTGATATTCTAAAACAAGAGTAGGAAATGAAAAACACACATAAACAAATTAGGGTAAATTATACAAATAGTTTATGTAGTTTACGATATGTCAATTTGGTTCTTGTTTGTTTTAATTTGCTCGATTTTGTCCATTAATTTAATTGTTTGTGTCATTTTAGTCCAATAAATAACGGTTGTTAAGTTTGGTGGACGGAAACCGTTATTTGTTAGACTAAAATGACACAAACTGTTAAATTAAGAGACAAAATTAAGCAAATTAAAACAACATGAACCATATTGACACATCGTGTAAACTATATAGACTATTTGTATAATTTATCCAAAAAATTAATATGTTGTAGTTTACATTCCATAGCCAACATAGAGATAAAGGCAACATTTGGGAACATGTTTTTTTAGTAACTTTTTGAATTTTTGGCTAAAATATGAGGTTAAAAAAATTAATATGTTTGTGATGACTTTTTGATTTTTTACGAAAAGATATGCAAAAAGAAGAGAGAAAAAAGAATCTTTGACTTTTTGATATATGTTGCTAGCTTTTTGATTTTTTTAATAACTTTTTGACTTTTAGGCTAAAAAATGATGTTGGCAAACGAGACCTAACTCAGATAAGTTCACATCACCCTATATGTTCCTAACTATTTATCATTTGTTGAATTTCATCAAGATATCAATTACCCTGAAAATGTTTACATTGAAAAATGCAAAAATACTTTCACAAAAATTATTTGATGATCAAACAAATGAAGCTTGAGAAAGTACAATATATGAAGGGTAACCATTTTTACCTTAACAAATCCATCTCAAATCAGTAAAATTGAAGATGGAAATTTAATTGATGTGAGATTTGATGATAACTTTTGAGCTGAAACTTAAGACAAAAAACACTAACAAATATAAAAGACCTATCATGAAAACAAATTACTCATTTCTATCAACCATTATCTTTCTGAAAAATATATTTAATTTTTTTTTTTTAAACTAACAACCCCAATTCTGTATGTATTAAATGAATAAGAATTTTGGATGATTGAAAAACTAAAAAAAATCTCTAAATGCATGATACAATCACACTAAAAAGCTCATTTGAATTATTTAACAAAGATAACCCATTGTTGCTAACATTGAATATATCATTTGATTGGGCATAAACATATCACTTATGTAATTATTTTCTAATTATCAAAAATATTATATTACATCGTGAACCTACTAAAATATTAATTAAATTTAAACAGTAGGATGAAAAAGATATTTCTCGATGCATCATTCATACATCCAAACAACCAGCACATTCCTTATCTTAGGGTTTATTTTCGATATAAAATCCATTAACAGAGCATCCATATTAAGACAGTACAACTATGTACATTGTTCGGTGGTGGGATTTTTGGGTGAGGAAAGGATTTCGCAAGGGAGGGAAGAGCAGAAGAGGATGGAAAAGTAGGAAAGAGGGGTTTTGCAGGTTTGGGTGGGGAGGGAGAGAGTTTTTGGTAGTAGGGTTTTTAGGTGGGTGTGAAGGGTGGTTTTTGGATACTCCTTCGTTCCAAATAGACCTTTAATGGATCCTCACTCTGGTGCTTGAAACAGGTAACACTTCAGTCAAGGGTTCAAGAATTAGCACTCCGACAAATAAGTCAGAGATTGGTTGTGAAAAAATAGAGATGTAGAGAGAGAGAGAGAGAGAGAGAGAGAGAGAGTGAGTGAGTGATCACACATACCTTTCTTCTTCTAGTGACTTTCTTTATATAGAGGTTTTGTGAAGATATTTCTCACATAATCATTACAATGTTAGGGCCCACATCTCTATTACACCTTCGAAAAGAGACAGCTTGGGCCCACTTTGATTGGGATAGTCTGTCGAATTTCTTCTGGAGCTTGGCATGAATGTTCTTTAATTCTCAGTACAACCCATTCAGCGTGTCACCTAGTCGGTGAAGGGGTTACTCGGTGTCAAACCTTTGTAATCAGTGGTCCTGGTTGACAATAGGCATGGTTGAACTTGGGCCTATCAGTGATTGGCCTAGGAGTACTTTGTTTTTCGAATTTTTATACTCGGCTCACACAATTGCCCCCCAAGCTCTTGGTCATCTTGAGTATTGAGTGGTTTGCGTGCCCGGCTCGCACTGAACTACTTATTCAGCTGATCTTCCTTACACGTTGGCTGCTTTCATTGCGGCTCGAGGTTTGGGTGTGTGATGGGTACACCGCTCTTTGGCATGACTGATGGGATCCCACGAAAGATATATATACTCCATGCCTCTTCAGGCTTCTTTTTCATACCCTTCATTTAGTGCACTTTCAAAAATATTTCTCAACGCCCTTTCACTTTCGGAAAACCCTAAATTTTCTGCAATTTTTCGTCTCCATCTTTTTCATTGAAGTTGCTTCTATAAGTCTTCTGAGCCATATTCTTTTCATGGTTTCTATATCGTATTTTTATTTTGCCTTTTCTTCTCTTTGAGTTTTTGTTCGTGAGTTGTTGTGGTGAATCACTCGAAGGAGCTTTTGTTTGAGTCAGAACTCATTTTCTTTCGTCACCACTTCGAGATCCCAGACGATGTTCAATTGGAACTCATTGGGGATGGGGTTGTTGTTCTTGAAATGGCTAATGCGAGCACCATTGTTCTGCCGCTTCTGGCCATCACTGAGGGAGGAGTTTGCTTTCTCCTTCATCCTCTCCTTCGTCACTGGGGTTTAATTCCTTCCCAACCAAACGTCAACTACTCTTCTATGCCTTGTGATTTCACTTATTGATAAATTAGTAATCTTATCTTCACTAATGGATTTACGCAGCTTGTGATGTGCTTATGGTCATTTAATTTGTTCATTTCTTCAGTGTTTCATAATTTTTTGGTGACATGATTGGCACTGTTGGTGTTTTGAGTAGGCATGCTTTTCTTTTGTTTTTATTTCTTCTTTGTATTTAATTCAATGGTAGGAATGTGGATACCATTTTTCACTGTTGGTGGTAGTATCACATGATTGGTTTCAATTCTCTTAAAGAGCTTGAAAAATCCCTTCATTACTCATCTCTACTTGCCTATAGCAAAGAAAGTATAAAATAAAATCTCTCATTGGAATTTTTTGTTGTTTTAGTTGTGTTTATTCGGTTTAAAATGATCTCTGGACTTAGATATGAATGCTTGGGCATGCCAAGTGGAGAGAACCTCCTAGTTCTTTGATTGCCTCAATGAAGAGGACTTAAAATGTGTTAGAATGTA